CCTGTCCTTGGAATACCCTAGAAGGGTCAGCAATGCCCTTGTCACTCGAGCGGACTCGCGTGGCTCACCATCCGAATCGCCATCTGGTGCTGGTTTTGCGGAGTTCAATTTGTAGGAGTGTCTTGTGTCCGAGTCTGAGCCTTTCCAGTATTTTCTGAACCGGGGACAGATGAGGAAGAACGCCATCGGGACAAGTTTATTATCTCAAGGTGAATGATAATGCCCTTGTCAACAAGTCCACGGTTTTGTGTTGTTTATCCATGGTGGGCAGTCCGTTAAGACGGGGCATTCTCGCGCAACTGCCTCATTCAAGCTTATGCAACATACAGGAACGGAAGCTGCGACTACATTGAGAGGAGCAGCTGCATAATAAAGGCAGCTCTACGGTTCTCAACCAGAACATCGGATTTTGGACGAGCATTGTGGTCACCATCCGATCTACGGGGGGCATTCGAACTGTATCTATAGCATGCTCTGCGGTAACTGTTCGTCGGCCAGCTGAGCTTCCCCAGACGTGCATGCATGCAAGATACTCCGCATCCCGAAAGGAACTCCGAACACCATGTTCAAAAGCCGAGTACTTCAAAACCAGAACTAGAGACACGCTTCAAAGCATTGTGACTCGACAAAAACTCCGGGTTATTTTTCGAATGAGTCACTAATAGAATACTGTCGTAGTACTCGGTGAATTGGGACCGATCCCGAGTATCGGGGGAGGAAGAGTGATTCTGGCTCTTTCCATAACGAATATGAATTAATCTAACGACAGTCATCAGCTAGTTAGTTTCTACTGCGTACTGCGTATCTCGAACCCATGGACTGTAGCAAGCTCTAGCGCCGAATGGCAGATCTCACCTCAGATTTGGGTAATTGCCCACTCTGATAGGCCCAGTGGCCACCTCGTGCAGCACGCTGGGAGTCAGCCGATGCGGCCAATGGGTCTCAGCGCAGATCCATTTTGCAGGTCCGAATCGGCTCCATCGCGGACAGAAGCCAGTCTCGACTGTATGGGCAGCAGAAGAAGAGTTGGAACTGCGTAGGTAATGGGCGTGGCTAACCAGCTCGTATCAGCCTGGCAACCCACCAGCCAGAACCTTAATGGGGGCCGATCCCGGAAGGCAGGCAGAGGTGGTCCGAGGGATACTCCGGACTTTTCCACGGCGCTGACTGGCCCGTTTATCCAATACTTAATCACGCCATTTAGCACTATGTTCGGGATGGGTTTAGTTCTGGCCCCTCCCAACGGACGGGTTACTAAAATTTTCAAGGATGACACATACCTCAAAAACCGGAGGACATTGGACTTGTTTGGGTCCGGAGGGTCAGGAACTTAGTGGTAATGTGGGAAAGGGGCTCAAGTGTAGATAGCTGGGGGAGGAGGGAGGGGAGGCATTGGAGAGGAGAGCGACAACGAAGAGAATGAGTGCAGATACTCACAGAATGGCGAAAACCTTCCCTTCCATTCCTTACTGTATACATACCACTTGAGAAGCGGGACTATCTTACCTTACCGAACAGGCACATGTAAGTATGCCTGATCTGGAGTCTGGAACACGGTCAGGTTTCCAGGTACTGGTGCGGTATCCATGGTATTTTTGGTATCAACCCAAACCCCTCGCCCCACTCCCTCCCCTCCTCCGTCTGCTTATAACAACTCCCCTCCATCCTCTTCTTCCCTCTCTTTCTTCTTTCTTTCTCCATCCCTCCCCCCTGTTTCTCTCTTCATCCTTTTCTCAGCAAGAGACTATTGTATAGTCCTTGACTGTCTTCTCTGTCTTCTTTTTCATCCAATTCTTCATCTATTTTCCCTCCATAAAACTCTACCTTTTTCTCCCTCACTTCTACACACATATCTTTCAAGATGGTTCAATCGTAAGTTTTCACCATCTGCTTGCATCAGAAAATTTCAATGCTAATGGCATCTGCTTTAGCTCCGTCTTGGGTTTCCCTCGTATGGGAAAGCTCCGTGACCTCAAGAAGGCCACTGAGGCTTACTGGGGTGACAAGATCTCTCGTGATGAGCTCTTGGCTGAGGGAAAGAGACTCCGTCTGGAGCACTGGAAGCTCCAGAAGGATGCTGGTGTTGATGTGATCCCCAGCAACGACTTTGCTTTCTACGACCAGGTCCTCGACCACATCCAGCTCTTCGGTGTATGTATCCTCGCTCTGATGCTTTCTAATTACCTCATTCGCTAACGTTCTCCTTCAATAGGTCATCCCCGAGCGCTACAGCAAGTACAACCTCCACCCCCTTGACGAGTACTTCGCCATGGGTCGTGGTCTTCAGAAGCCCGCCAAGGATGGTCAGGCTGCCATTGATGTCCCCAGTCTGGAGATGGTCAAGTGGTTTGACTCCAACTACCACTACGTCAAGCCTACCCTCCAGGACAACCAGACCTTCAAGCTGGCTGAGCAGCCCAAGCCTGTCGTTCAGTTCCTTGAGGCCAAGGAGGCTGGCGTTGTCACTCGCCCCGTCATCCTGGGTCCCGTCTCTTTCCTGACCCTCGCCAAGGCTGACCGTGGTCAGTCCGTTGACCCCATCACCAAGATTGAGGAGCTCCTCCCCGTCTACGTTGAGCTGCTCCAGAAGCTCAAGGAGGCTGGTGCTGAGGAGGTTCAGATCGATGAGCCCGTCCTCGTCTTCGACCTCCCCTCCAAGTCCAAGGCTGCTTTCAAGCCCGCCTACGAGAAGCTCGGTGCCCTTGGTGCCCAGGCTCCCCGTCTGGTCCTTGCCACCTACTTCGGTGACATTGTTCACAACCTTGATGTCTTCCCTGCCCTCCAGAGCCTCCACGGTATCCACATTGACCTCGTCCGCAACCCTGAGCAGCTCGACGCTGTTGTTGCTGCCCTTGGCCCTAAGCAGATTCTGTCTGCTGGTGTTGTTGACGGTCGTAACATCTGGAAGACCAACTTCAAGGCTGCCATCGAGAAGGTCGAGCTGGCCATCCAGAAGCTCGGCAAGGAGCGCGTTGTTGTTGCCACCTCCAGCTCCCTCCTCCACGTTCCCCACACTCTCGAGAGCGAGAAGACCCTGGACCCTGAGGTCCGCGACTGGTTCAGCTTTGCTGTGCAGAAGCTTGACGAAGTTGTCGTGATCGCCAAGGCCGTCACCGAGGGCCCCGCTGCTGTCCGTGAGCAGCTCGAGGTTAACGCCAAGTCTGTCCAGGCTCGTGCTTCCTCCAAGCGCACCAACGACCCCAAGGTCAAGGAGCGCCAGGCTGCCGTCACTGAGGAGCAGCACAACCGCCAGTCTCCTTTCTCCGCTCGTATTGCCGAGCAGAGCAAGTCCATCAACCTCCCTCTCTTCCCTACCACCACCATCGGATCCTTCCCCCAGACCAAGGAGATCCGTATCCAGCGCAACAAGTTCACCAAGGGTGAGATCACTGCCCAGGAGTACGAGAAGTTCATCGAGAAGGAGATCGAGGAGGTCGTCAAGATCCAGGAGGAGCTCGACCTGGACGTTCTCGTCCACGGTGAGCCCGAGCGTAACGACATGGTCCAGTACTTCGGTGAGCGTCTCACTGGTTACGTTTTCACCACCCACGCCTGGGTTCAGTCTTACGGCTCCCGTTGCGTGCGTCCCCCGATCATTGTCGGTGACATCTCTCGTCCCGCTCCCATGACCGTCAAGGAGTCCAAGTACGCTGTCTCGATCTCCAAGAAGCCCATGAAGGGTATGCTTACCGGCCCCATCACTTGCTTGCGCTGGTCTTTCCCTCGTGACGATGTCCACCAGTCCGTCCAGGCTCAGCAGCTCGCTCTCGCTCTGCGTGACGAGGTTGTTGACCTCGAGACTGCCGGCGTCAAGGTCATCCAGGTCGACGAGCCCGCTCTTCGTGAGGGTCTCCCCCTCCGTGCTGGCAAGGAGCGTGAGGAGTACCTCAAGTGGGCCGTCCGTGCCTTCCGCCTGGCCACCTCTGGTGTCACCGACGGTACTCAGATCCACTCTCACTTCTGTTACTCTGAGTTCCAGGACTTCTTCCACGCCATCGCTGCGCTGGATGCCGATGTTCTGAGCATTGAGAACAGCAAGTCGGATGCCAAGCTGCTCAAGGTCTTCATCGACGAGGCCTACCCCCGTCACATTGGACCTGGTGTCTACGACATCCACTCTCCCCGTGTTCCCAGCGAGCAGGAGATCAAGGACCGTGTCGAGGAGATGCTTCAGTACCTCCGCCCTGAGCAGCTTTGGATCAACCCCGACTGTGGTCTGAAGACCCGTCAGTGGCCCGAGACCAAGGCTGCCCTGACCAACATGGTCAACGCTGCCAAGTTCTTCCGTCAGAAGCACGGAAACTAAATTCTTCTTTAATCATTACATTTTTTTAATAACCCATGATTGGGGGCGACATTCTCAACCTGTCGTCTCGGGGAAGCGGACTCTAGCAGATCCCTTTCCAAAGTCTTTTTTGATGAGTTTACGATGATGATACCAAAAGTTCAACATATGGGTTAGGGTTTCATTAGATGGGGTCACCGGAGTTTTCAACATATGATAACGATTTCAACATCGGCGTTCGCATAAACATCGACGCCAAGTTTTCTCTTGCATTTTGCGAGTTCTGGGGGCGGAATGCGGGAACGTCGGTGACGTCTGCAACGCCGAGATCAATAATATTTCAACAATGATTGTGTATATCACAAAAAAGGGTCGCTACTTTACTGCCCTTAATGAATATGACAAATGCTCGAATGGTCACATTTGAGCTTGACATTTCTTTATCCATGATTGTTCTAACCGTAGAGTAGCTGATGTAGATGATTGTAGCTCCAGCATGAACTTGCTTATGATCTATGTAAAAGACGGATTTCTGTAGATATTACTCATTTAGGAGATACGATATTATACACAACCCCAACCTATCATACATACACCCATCACTAACTATACACAACCCATTACTTCCACCGGCACAATTACTTACAACCCAATCCATACCAAATCACTCAACCCCCATTCTTCTCCCATAAACAAACGAAATAATAAGTAATAATCACAACCAGCTAAAAAAGGGCACCACCGCTCCCCGTCCCTTAACCATCCCCTCCCCAAACTTCTCAACATACCACTTCCTCCCCCATCTCGCATGCGGCAACATATTCGACACCGCATTAACCAGAAACACCACCGCAGGCAACGGCATCGGCACGCCCATCCAGTCAGCTAATTTCGCAACAGGGACGAGCCACGGCGCCAGCTGGAAGGAACCATCCCCAGCAGCACCAGCACCACTACCACCAACTTTAACCGAAGGTGCGGTGGTGACAATCCCAGCAGCTAAGATCGCAAACCCAAGCCACTCAATCCACTCCGCTACGTAATGCGGATAGAGAATGGATGTGAAGAGGCCGGTGGGGGGCGGGATGGTGTATATTTTGGAGTAGATATTTCTTCCTCCTTTTTCCTTGCCTCCGGCCTTGGTAGCACTTTTGGTAGATGATGAGGAGGTAGAAGGAGGGGAAGGAGATGGCTTCTTCCGATGCGCCTCTTCCCTCCGTAGCCTGAACAACGTCCGCTCCGCAGAGATATTCCCTGCCATTCCTCCCAGGAAGAGGGTGAGGCCTAGTGGAGCGAGCCAGGCTCTTCCTATACTTCCACCAGAAGCATAAGAAGAAGAATAAGAAGAGGTAGAGGTAGAATAAGGAACAATATACCCAGCCAACCAACCACCCAAACAAACGGCATTGAACCAATTAAACGCCACCGCAGAGGAGGCAATAATCACATGAATAGGGGAGATGCTGGGCGCCGCGAAGAACGGGGAGATGATGGCGCGGTTGGTGTAGTGCAGGGTGAAGAGGAAAGCGAGGAATTTGTTACCCGTGGGGAGTGTAGACAGTGATGGGGAGAGGGTTAAGTCTGGGTAGTGTTTGGGTAAACTGTAGAGTAGGTAGAGGAGGGTCATGGGGGATACTATTTCCATGATGCACCAGGCCCAGCGGCCGGGGAGGTTTAGGGGGGAGAATTTCAGAGAGGTTTTGCCCGCTGGGTGGTAGGAGGTTAGCCATTGGAGGAGGGATACCTGGATTTTTTGTTTTTTTGTGGTTAGTATTTGGATGAGGGTGATGGGGGTTTGGGGGTTGGTGATGTATAGGTGTGGGTGTGGACGTACGAGTGGGAAGTATTGGAAGATGTTGAGGAAATGAGTGTAGATTTCTGGGGTTGGGTGGATGAGGTGCTCCCAGGGGGGAAGGTGGTTGAGGATGGAGAGGGCGGAGCCCATTGTTGTTGTTGGTATTGTTGGTGTTGCTTTTGTGGGTTATGCCAATGGCAGGTGAAGTAGTGGGAAGAGGATAGAAATGGAGGAATTGGGTAATGTTACATCAATGGACGAGGTGACGATGAAGATCAAGAGTTGGCGGATGAGTCAGCATCTACAAGGATCCAAGGCATGAAGTTAAGTATTCACAAGTTAAGGTTACTGCTCATAAAGTTACTACGAGATAATGATATCGTCATTGCATCCTGGCATTACCTCCCTATGCAAGTCTAACCCAAACTCGCCGAAAGAAGACCATCCCAACTATAACATGCGGATCCAAAATCAGACAGAACCACTCTCGTCGCTCACTTTTGCATTCCATCAGTTCGTCGTATCCATCGGCTCCAACACGCGCCTCCGCTCAGCCAGTCTCTCGGACTTGAATGACTCAATCTTGGCCTTAAGTTCGGTATCTATGCAACAGTTAGTACTCATCCTTTCACCACCAATCCACACTATAAGACCTACCGGGTATTACGTCTTCCATCTTTAGCGGTGCCCGGTTGAACGGATCATGAGGATCGCTGAGCAGATGCGACCGGATCGTTGCTCGGTCAATAGACACCCGGGATCCTGGTAGAATGACCGGGTCTTCCATCAATGTATACATCAGGGGATCTGATTCATGTTAGTAACTTCTTCCTCCAGTGCTGAATGATATCACATACCTAAGAAATCATCCGGCACCTCGCCCAGATCCTCCTCAGCCTGGTCATCGGCCTCCTTGGCCGCCTTCACCTTCTTTTGTAATTGCTCCCACCGCTTGAACTCCTCTGGCGACTTGAGCGACCATTTCCGTAGGATGTCTGCGGCCTTCTCAAAGTTCGCCGGCTTGTATGACCGTCCATCGCGTGCCACCGCGATGATAAAGTTCTCCTTGCCCATCAGGTTCAAATACACATCTACAATCTCGCTCAGCAGCGCCCTCGGGTTGAAACCGTACTCCTGCAGATTGTCCACCCGTAGACTGGCACTCTTGGGTCCCACCATCGCATCCAAGTTGTAGTCCAGCATGTCTGCCAATCGCTGCACGATCTCAGGCATTGTAAAGGAATCCGCCAGGGCATCGGTAAACAGCTTGAGCATAGCCACCGTCTCGTTGGTCAGCTGCATATACGACTTGGCGTTGCGCTGTGCTGAGGCGAGGTGCTCCTCTTTCTGCTGACGCACCGTCGGGTCCATTGAGGCACCGTTGAGGCGCAGCTCCGTCTGCGTCTTGTGAATGGTGATGAATGCTCCGAAGGACTCGTCCAGAACGAACGTCACATCGTTCAGCAACAGGTTGACAAAGCGGACGAAAAAGTCCAGGTTCTGCTTGGACTGGTTGTACAGCTTGTTGCGGTAGAGCGTATTCGGCCAGATGCACTTGATGATCTGGAAAATTTCGAATCGAATGTTGAACTTGTCAAAGAATTGCGTATGCGTGCCCGTGTGCTCTGCTTCAATGTAGAACTTCATCATCGAGTGGAGGAGGTATTCATTGGCAAACGGCATCGAGTTGAGCAGATCCACCAGGACTCCGCGAGCGCCACCAGGGCGTGGCCACGTGCCTCGGAACAGAATAGACACAAGTCCTGCCTTCAGGTACGGGTTCTTGATATAGCCCGAGCTCTCCAAGAAGGTGATGCACAGCATGACCAGCTCGTCTCCTTGCGTGGCAGTGATGATCTGTGGCATGCACCACATGATGAACTTGAAGTTGCTGACGATGTCGTCCAGGAAATACTCTGGAAGGCATTTGAAAACCTCCGGCTGCTGCACCGGAAGAGGGAGCTTGATCTCCTCCTTGGGAAAGTTCGTGCCCGAGACAACTCTCAGCAGCCACACGATCACGTACCGCATGAACAGCATCGACCGGGCTTGCCACTGGTCGTCAAACAAGACACCCTGTAGACTATACTTCAAGGCTAGGCCGAGGTCCAGCTTATCCTTGTACTTCTTCAGAGCCTCCTCGAAGACCCGAAGCTGCATCGGGTTGTTGACCCACCGGTGCCGTTCCAGCTCAAACTTATTGATGGTGGACTCCATGTGTCGGAGGTCCTTCTCAAGCTGCTCCAGCTTGGAGGTTAAGGACTCACTGCCATAGTGATGCGCAGCGACGGTGAGGAAGAAGATCTCAGTGATAAAGTTGGAAGTGCCTTCTGCCTTTTTGGAGTAAAAGGCATCCGACGCATGCTGATCGGCATTGATCTTGGTTTCATCCCTCATATCAACCCGGGGATTACGATGCAGATAATTGGCATCGACTCGGTCGATCTAGAGCATATCTGTTAGCTGCAAGCACTCCTAGCGCCGACCTGACGCAACGTGCTTACCTTGGTGAAGCTTGCATCCATGAACGGCTCGCAGAGTTGGTCCAAGCAGGTAGTCAGGTTGAACATGAACCCGTCGGATGACACCGTGTTGGGGTCCACCTGCATTGCACGTCGCTTGTGGTTGATGTTCAGGGAGGCCGCGAACCAGTCTAGAACCCTGTCCCTGGCATCTTTCGACGCCCGAATCATATGGTTCATGACATCGAGGAGATCGGAGCTGATCATGTGCTGCATCATGCGGATCGACCGCTGCGCGTTCAGAATGTAGGACTGATCTCTCGTCTTAGGGCTGGAGAAGTAAGTCATGGTCACACTGCTCTGCAGCGGCGACAAGCGAAACCATGGCCCCAAGAGAGTGCTCTTCTCAAACAGAGCCGGATCCCGGGATGCGTTAAACATATCCGACTCGGTAATGGCAGCTGCAATGACTGCATGGCGGACGAGGTTTCGAAGAGCCTACAAATCAGGTTGACGAGCGCTCCATGAGAAAAAAGAGAGTGGCCTTCACGTACTGTCATATATGGCTTGTAGTCATCATTGATGGTCATAGCAGCAAGCTCCTGGCTCATCTCCTCCACGGCCGTGATGAAAGCCGGCTTGAGGCTCTCATCCTCGTCGAACCTCTTGACAGCCTCGCCAATGAACTCAAAGTCCACGCCCTTGTCGTCCTCGGGATCCAAGAGGAGATACGGCTTTAACGGTGACTTCTCCGCTGGCTCGAGCCTGTTTAATGACGAGTCAGCCGAATCCTGGATCCAAGAGGTATCACTTCACCGCAACAACGCACCCAAACATCTCCGGCATCGTAATGGCAAATATACAATAACTCAGACATATGCGGCGCGCCTCGCAGATAGCACTGAATTTCGGATCATCATCGCGATTGCGGCGGAAGCCCTTGTGCAACCTAGAAATCCGCCTCCAGCACGGTAGTAGATAATCCAAGGGCTTCTGACGCGGAGCATTGGAGGCCGCTTCCAGAAGGGCCTGGTCCAGGACCGTCACATCCACGCGAACCTCCCGGCCTTGATCCTCAAGCTCACTCTTCAGACCCGGCAAATACGTCAATCGTTGTCCGTGAATATCCTTCTGCCGAGCCTCATTGAGCGACAGCTTGAAGACGGCGCTCAACGTCCGATCCTGAAATGCCTCGATACTCTCTTCCGCTTTAGGGGGTGGTGGTGTGCCGGACACCGGCGTTACGGTCTGTGAGCGGTCCGGGACCGAACTGGCAGAGGCTGCAGGTGTGATCTTGATCCGCTTCCATTCGGACTGTTGGGGCTGGAGTTGTGGTGAGGGGGCTGATGAACCGGGCGCGCTGCCCGGTCTCGACGAGGATTGTGTCTGGATCCTGTCCGGGTATCGTGAGGTTGGTGTAGACGGGGCAGGGGAGGCAGGCCTGCTTGATGCTGAATCTGCGGCGCCTTCATTCTGCGCCGATGGCGTTGGGTTGCCCAACTTGGCCAAGCGCTTGCTGCGGATCTGATTATGAGGGCAAGTCAGAACGGGCAAATGCCTGGATGGCAGGATTCGAAAGAACACGGGCCGGGACCGGGAGAGAGATAGCAACAACTCACCTTATCCGCTTCAGACTGGCTCTCTGACATCGTGGATGATGCTTATGGGGCGAGCCCGAAGCAGAAGGGCTTCCGTAGTATCAGCGGGGCTCGACAACGGAGCGAGTTGATGGCTGGAACCGAAAACTCAGACGGAGGAGAGATGGAGAGAACGGGGGGAAAGAGTTAATTAAGGGCAATCCAGGCTGGATTAGAAGCGGGGAGAAAAAGAGTGTAGTGGGTGCCCGGAATGAATGAGCCCGATAAGTGACCCCCAGAGCGAAACAGTGAGGAGAAAAGAGGTCAGTCACTGGCGCTGACTCTGTTCCTGGACTGCTTCTCTCATGGTCGCTGAGGTTCGCCCGCATGAAGTATTAACTAAGCTGGTTGGCGTTGGTTCGCCCGCTCAGGGCCCTTTCTTTTGCATCGTGTGTTCTTTTCTCCACTTTTCACGGTTATTTCTCCAACACTGGGAGATAACCGACTACTTACTAGTTATCTACTTTACTACTTATCTTGCCGATCGCTGCTGCTCAACTTCCATCTATTATTCCCTTCTTTAACAACATATACATTTGCTTTGCTTCTCAAGGCTACTACTAGACGAAGCTACTTCCAAGCTCAGGTCATCACTCCGTGAAACGCCATCAAAATCCTTGCACACGTATGGACATCTAATGCGAGAACAAAAGCGGCGGGGGGGTCATCAAGAACAAAATGTAACAGGCCATTAAGGTATAAAAGAAACAATAGGAGGATGCAAAATTGGCACCCCGCATGCCATAGAGATAGAGACAAGTCCGCGCTCTCTTTCAGTACCTCCCCTTCAGGGAGTCTAGCCGCCGACAACTCTTGAGCTCCATCGCTCTCGCTTCTTTGATCTTGTCTACGTCTGGGAAGAACCAGCCCTGGGCATCCTGGAGCATGCGATCACGCCTGTGTTGTTCGGCTTCGCATTCGTACCGTAGTTTCGTAACGTAGTCCACTTCCACCCGTTGGTCCAGTTGCCGGAATTTCCGCGAGCTGTAGTCTTCCACATCCCCGGGGTTCACATAATAGTCCACATTCAACTTAGGTGTCGTGCGATGCATCGTGTGGGGAGGCACGGCAGCGTCAAAACGGTACGAAGGACCTGCAGGAGTTGACGGCCCAGAGAATTTGGACGAGATCCACGGAAGCACGAAGAGGAGAATGAGAGGGAGAAGCTGCTGGAAGGTAGCCCACAAAGAGGGCGTAGGTTCGGTACGAGCATTGGCCTCACGGGGTCTTCTCCGGGGGCGACCGCCTCCAAACTGATGAACCCGGATACCAGGACCGCCGCCCATGTTGAAAACAAACTGAGGTCCACCTATACACACTGATTAGCTATGCTCCTCAAATCAATAAGAAGCAACCATACCAAAAGGGCTGAAACCACCACCCATATTGCCAAACCCACCGCTAAAGAACCGCTGGAACAGCTCTTCCGGCGAGATCTCCTCTTCGAACATCGGACCCCCAGCACCCGCAGACCGGGGGAATCCACCACCACCAAAACCGCTGAAAGGCGAAGCGCCCGAGGGACCAGCACTCGGGGTGAACCTGCTGTCCGGATCGCCTCCAAACCTATCATACTTGGCTTTCTTCTCGGGGTCCGACAAGACCTGAAAGGCGCGCGAAACCACTGCAAACCAGAATAACCATTAGCAAGGTGATTGTGATTCCCCACACAAGCATCCGAGGTCCCGATCACTACTCACACTTGAACGCCTCATCCGCTCCCTCATACCCGTTCTTATCAGGGTGTGTCATCAGACTCAGTTTGCGATACGCCTTCTTGATCTCGCCGTCGGAGGCGCTCTTCTCCAACGACAGGATCTCGTAGTACGCCGTCGCCGAGCATTTCCGTATCCTCAGGACTGCCGCCTTCTGCTCTGGTGTGTATTTCCGATCCTGGTTCCCCTGGTTGTGCTCGCGGGATTTGGCAGAGCCTCCATTGTCTACCCCGGACGCGGTGGCGGACGGCATGGCGGCAGAGCTTTTATTTCCCTATTATCGATGAAACGAGTCTCCTCTGCGCGTAGCCAGCCGGCTGTAGAATATCCCACTCTTCGGATTTAGATCCCGGGTTGCGAGGGGTTGAAAGCCTAAACAGGCTCGTCGGAAGATGGAAGGGTGGATCAGCGATGAACCAGCCGACGGATGCAAAGAGAATCGCTGATTAGAGAGGGGAGGGCCCTTGGTTTCGCGATCGAGTCGAGTGATATCAGCGACCGGGAAAAGGAGACCAAGTGTTTGTAGGATTGGTTGGTTCTGGGCTGTTGCGGGCCAACCCTCGATCTGGGGAATAATAGATAGTATGGGGTGAATTTGATAAAACGTGGTGAGTTTCTGGAGGATCAGATGTTGACGCTAAGCCGAGTGAGTGAGAGTGAGCCGTTGGTTCGAGGTTTAGTCAGTCACTCAGTCGCTTTGGAAAGGTACGTCGGAGCTGCCAGTCACCTTTCCCGCGTCACTAGCTACTTCGGATTGTCTTGTTTGACTGCCCAGCATACATACAAGGTTAGTTACAATTTCTGCAATTGTATATCCATTTTATTCTACTTTCCTAAATTGCTTCAATCCATTCATCTTCAAGTCGCTCGCCAATACCATCTTCATTGACGGCAGGAATCTCATAGAATTCCACCCATCGCAACCATGTCCGGTTCAAAATCCCCGATAGAAGAGACCGAAAAGTCTCTCGTGCAGAAAGCCAGAGCATGGGGAGGTAAGCATATACCTCAATCTAATTCTAAATCAACATCCCATCTCCAACAATGTCACTAATCACTCATCCATCGACGCACAGAGAACTCATTTCCACCCACCCTGCTCGCCACTCTCATCACCGCACAATACATGCGACCATTCCAGGCCCTTCCCATGCTTTTCCCTCCCGTCCTTATATTCACCAGCTACGCCAACATCCAAGGCTTCAAAACCGATACAGCTGGTATCAGCGCGGCGTGGTCCGGGCTGTACCTGTTGCTCGCGGGTCGTCGGAAGCAGCCGTTCATGAAGAAATGGGGCGCGAGGGGAATTGTCCGCGGTGCGACAATGGGTCTGTGCTTGGTTAATATGGTTAGCGGTGGGTTGGCATACACCCTGGGCAAGCGGGAGGAGGAAGAGGAATAGACGGGGGATATATAAAAGTTTTGGTTTGATTCGGTAAGACATCTTATGTGATGGTGCGGGATAGTGCTGTTTGTTTGCGGGGTCATGTATGATATAAGTTGAATGGGGAAACAGGCGTCGCTTCGGAAAAGGTGTTTTGGTTTTCTTTCGATTGCTCAATTCAATCAAGTGATGATGACGTTAGTCATGACTTAATTCATTTATGAGTGTTTCCTTCTATATGAGTGATCTATGTGTATGTTATATATATCTAGTAGGCCTTTGCTGCTCTGCGCATCGCACAATATGCAACGTAGTTCCGTCAACGATAGCTCTTGAAGTACTTTTGTACTGTAATCACTCCGTATATGGCCTTTCTGCCAAGATGACATCCCGGACACTGGGAGGAACCAGCCACTCCAGGTCCTGAGGATTGGCTACAGCAGCTTCTCGCGCTCTTGTCGAGCTCACGGAGGGCGCACCAGGCTTCTTACCCTCGACAAGCTTGATGCGATCAGCCCATTCTCGTTTCCCGCCCACCCTCTCCATGGCACCCTGCGCCAAGTCGGCCACAAACGCTTCCTGCTCCTCTCTACTGCCCCAGTCACTATCCGGGCGCATGGTCACTCGCAGCCGATGCTGGGAAAGAAACGGTCCCAACGGCTGGAGTGTATGCTCTGGTGGGTAGTATTTCGGGTTGAAAATGCGGATCAACGTATCGTACCCCGTCAGATGTACCTGCTCCAGTGACGAGGAGTATATACCCGCGCGTTCAATCTCCGCGGCTTTGTCCACAAAGTATGGTTTCTTGGTGACTCCAATGTCGATCACGGGAAGATTTTGGGCCTTGGGAATAGTCCCGTTTGTTTCTAATGACGAGAGAAGGTCTCGAGCGAAGAGCTCCATCATGGCCAGACGGGTCTCGAACGCCGCCGGCTTGGAGGGCTTGTCGGCATTCTGTGTCGCAAGGAGCAATAAGAGACGGGAGGGCTTGTGGGGATTTTCTAGAAGAGCGGAGGTCGCAATTCGGCTGTGGGCAAGGGTTGGCGGGTTGAAGGACGAATCGAGGACGTACAGAACGTCAGTGGATGAGGTGGGATCATGGCGCTCGGAGGGGACAGAGGCCAGAACCTCCAGACTGCGGGTTGATGCAATGAAGAGTCTGAGGCCCACAGCGTACTTCTCGCGTAGGGCATGAAAGGCGGGGCTCGTCATGCTGGAATTAGATGAGTCAATCTGGCGTGGTCAGTGTGACAACTCATAGAGTAGAGTATGTGTGTATGTATGGTAACATCAAGAACGATGATGATGATGATGATGATGATGATGATGATGATGATGATGATGATGATGATGATGATGATAATGTCAATGATGCCCAAGGCTGGTCACGTCAGAGGCCGACAGAAGAGGTGGGGTTGTGGACGGGAAGCATCCATGGACGTTGTTGGACGAGGACCCTTTGGTGCGGGTGGCTGCAGGACCCGGACTTTGCTGGGTATACCGCCAAATACACAGTAAGTGGACATTAGACAGATACTTGGTTGATACTTGATAGATGGTATCTAGGTATGCATGTACGGCTTATTGGCGACGCTTCGAGACCCTAAATCCACACGGCAGAGCAACACGAGCCGATATTAAGGCTTTATCTCATTGCCCATACTAAGTGGTGGATGGCGGTCTGTGAGCTATCCTCGATGGGATCGTAACACTTAGATTAAAGCCGCGATGATCACAATCAGGGACTCGGTGCTCCGTAGGCTGGATGTAGTAGTCTAGACGGACCCGGTAAGCCGGAATGTTCTGGAGTCTGGATGTCTAGATTAGGGTCAATGGTGGTGTGTTCCTTGTGTTCTCGCTAAATGCCGCTTATTCCGGAGTGTTGGTTAATGGTTTATTGCCGGCCGCGCTCAGTGGAGTCTCCAGTGACTTGGCCAAGTACTCATCAGGGGTAGATAGATACTCCCTACTTATGCCCAGGATGTGATTGTGACATTCCAAGTATCAACAGAAGAAATAGAGTCTAGCTTACGAATGAGTGGGAGCTCATACGGAGTTAACTACTGAAATGGTGTGACTGGCCAGGACTGGAGCTCTCCGAGCTTTGAGGGCTAGCCGATAAGAACCGAAGACGATCATCTCCTAGTCGATGGCGCACAGTGAAAGCGTGTTCACGGTTCAGGCAACCATATACTTTGACCCTCATCAGCTTGAAACGCTGGCGGCCGTGGTTTCCCCAGCTCCGGTCAGGGTCAAGGACCAAGAACAACCTCAGAGCTTTGCTTTCATCTGTTATCACCACCAGTGCCAATATCCCGCACCACACAATATAATTTATATCCCGGCCTTCTTTGTGCTTGGATCACTGCCAGTAATCAACCTATATGATCAGTCTTTGTTCTGGGAGAAAATCGCCGGTGTCTAGACCCCCCATGCTGGCTCCACTTGGTCTGCACCTACCACCCACGCCTCGTAGGCCCAAGACCGTCGCCGCGCAGATTTTCTTGATCAACCCTGTCAAACGATGCTGGCGCGCCCACCGACGGAATTGATATCGGGATTGACGATATACTGAGCCTCCTTGGGGACTTCTTCCTCTCCCTCTTCTCCATAGTTCGTGTTGAGAAAGGACTCGGCTCAGACATGAGTCCCTTCGGTTACAAAGCGTCTCACGCCATCAGCACGAGAAGTCTTAGCTCGGAGTCAAAGCCACTAGGCTGTATCATTTTAGCCCCTTTGATGAAGCATCGTTGACTAAACCACTGTAAGAAGCTTGGGGGTGTTGGCAATGAGCTCGCTAACTGTATGATGGAATGAGGATAGAGCTTGGATCCTTCTCGACTCATCATGCCCCTTTTTCTTACTTTTGTTCTCCATGTCTCCAGAATGCTGTGTAGAGTGTATACGTTGCCCAGTTGCGTGAATGGAGGATGTCATCTCCGCACGGTCAACTAGTGAAGGTGATAGTAAACAAATCCACAGCGGATTGTTGATTAAAGCGTGTCCACCAGTAAATTACGGTAATAACAATTCCGCGCCGGCCCATTAATGAGGTTGAGTCAAGCGTGGCGGTTGAACATACGATTGTCGGCGGTTGTTCCATGGATGCTTCGTTTGAGGACCGACGGGAATTACCAGATCCGGGCAATGTTGACAACCCACACGATCGACGTTGTTGTTATTGTCGTTGTTGTTGTTGTTGTTTCTTTTATTTCTGAACCAGAAACAAAAGGGCCCTGAAATGGTCCCTGAAGGGGGCGGTAACAGCTTACCGACACATCCTTCTCAGACAACCTGTGCGATCCTGATGCACGCTGGCTGTTGGTCTGGCAGCGACAGCACAGCGAAGGACTAGTACTATCCATATTAGGCAAAACGAGGGGGAGTAAAGAAAAAAGTCGAACAAGACGGAAGCCGTGCGGTTGGCCCGTTTGGACAGGCACAATGAGATTAAGCTGGCAGCCAAGCACCAATGAGAAGAGGCGGTGAGGGGATGAAACGGGGCTTCATCTCCAGTCCAGCTAATCCGCGTGTGGTTCCTGCGCCGGAGACCCACTCGGGACTGAGGAAATTAAAATTAAGATCAATATCAGGAGGAGGGCAGTGCGTGTTGATTGGCTGCAGGGTTATCAACAACTGGGCACAGCTGCACGCCCGACACCACCTCGTTCGGCCAAGATGAGACATTAGCGCCGTATGGGCGAATCTTCCAAGACTCGCCCACCAACGGGCATCTCGCATCTGTTCCATACGACGTTGGAGAAAATACGGTGCCTGGTAATATCGCGTATCGACGGGCTGCAGGGATCCCGAATTGAATGGATTTAATCAAATTTCGATATTACGGCGTTCTCCTTTAGGTTTCCCTTTTTCTGACTTTCTTTCTTTTCCCCCCGGGTCTTTTTTTCCTTTAAACTCCTTCACTTTCTTCCCGGGCCTCCAAAAAGTCTCTCGTCAGACTGCTACATTCTCTCTCCTGTTCAACCTCTCTCTGCGAGAACGTTGCGACCTTCCTTCTTGCGTCCAGTCACTCTTTCAACCTTGCTTTGATTTACTTGCGAATAGATTTCGCATCTCACTTTCGTTGAGAAAACTACCCCCGCAGTCTCTACCAAATAACCCAAGAACGGAATATCTCTCCCATCTACTCGGACTTCTTCGAACCTCCACCATCAATCCTTCACGATGCAGCTTACTTCCAAGGTTTCCATCGCCCTGCTGGGTGCTTTCGCCGCCGTCGGTGAGGCCAACAACCACGGCTTCCATGCGCGCCAGATGAACTTCCACCCTGGTGGCTACAACAACCAGACTGTGTCGACCTCCGTCGTCCCCGTCTACCCGACTCCGGAGCACTCCAGCGCTCCCGTTGCCCCCAGCGCTCCCGCCAGCTCCCCCGCCGGAGTCGCTGCTAGCTCCCCCATCATCGGTGGTCACTATGCCAGCAGCTCCAGCTCCGCTGCTGTTGTTGGTGCTTCCTCTGTCGCTCCTGTGCCCGTTCCCCTCGGCACTGGTGTCTCCAGCAGCGCCCCCGTCTCCGCCCCGGCTGCTGCTGCTACTGGTAGCAACGGTGTTTCGACCGAGTACGACACTGTGACTTCCACCAAGGATGTCACTCTCACCTACACCCTGGGTTCTGGTTCCACCCAGAGCGTCGTCACCACCACTATCCACCGCACCGTGACTGACGTCGAGACCATCTACGTGGTATGTTATGGAAGCCCGTTCTGGAAGCATGAAGAAGGATGTATACTAACGGATATATCATAGACCCCCTCTGCCAGTGCTTCCTCCACTGCCCAGGACACCACCGTCACCTCTGACACTACCGTCTACTCGACCTCCACCGACTACGAGACCTACACTCTCTACGCGGTCCCTACTTCTTCCGCTGCCGCTGGTAGCTCCGCCCCCGCGGGCTCTGCTGCCGCTGGCGAGACCTGTGCTCCGGTCACTGTCACTGTCCACGACACCGTCACTGTGGTATGTACCCACTTTGAAACCAAGCTGTCGGGTTGAACCCCTTACTGATGAATTGCAGACCGCCACTCCCACTCCCATCTCCACCCCCGACAGCGTTGCCAAGATCGAGGTCAGCTCTGTGTCCACCAGTGAGGAGGTTGAGACCAC